ACATGTTGACCTAATTTCATGGCTCAAAACATTTCTCAAGATCATTGGATTAATATATGAAATTTGGTCAATTGATGGAAAAGTCAATTGTACACTGAAAAGTCAAACTTTGACTTTTTTTGATCAAATTTGAGTTTCAAAGATCACACTTCGTCAAGACATTCAAAAATATGAAACTTGATCATCACAAAATTAAGAAAGTCAAAAAGTCTTTGGAAAAGTCAACATTTTCTATACTTGGAAATTTTTCTAAGTGTTTTAAACATGATAATTTCATAACTTCGTGACATTTTTTCACCAAGATGCAAGATGATTCAAAGAAAACTTTCAACATGAAAGTTGCAGATCTTGATGAATTCTACAACTTTGTATTAGAGGGTTGATGTCCAAAAAATTCTTAGATTTGAATATATGAGCCCCTGAAATCATGACATTGTTGTCCAACACTTAGAGAAATTTTCAACATATTTTGGTTAGTTTTTATCTCAATTCTTGGCATTTTTATCATAGTTCCAAGATGATTTTTTCAAAATGGCCAACATAAAAATTGTATACAATGTTTCAAGATTTCCAAAATGCCCAAGAGTATGAATTTATCATACTTGATCTAGGAGATTCAAGGGCATGAAGTTGGGCATCCATTCTTGAATTGCAAGTCATTTGTTTGAAGAACACATAATCCAATTTGCATGATGTGCTGCATAATATTAATTTATAGGCCTTTTGACTTGCAAATCTATCCAAAATCAGATGTTTACACAATTGATTGAACCATTATCCAAGTGATTCAAGTATTATCCATTGCATCATTCCATTTATGGCACAAAGGCACAATTGCCATTCACATAAAGCATGCTTTATAAAAATTCAGCTCTCCTTGAGCCTCTCAACTATTTTTTCTACACGCACAATGTGAAATCAAGAAGCAACATTCCTAAAAACTCCTAGCCACTTTAGATCTCTTTTGTACCATGCATTGAGACATCAAATTTCACATAACTTGGTTGTTTCATCTCAACCAAACCCGAATTCCACAGCTTGTGAAACAAACTCTCTCATCCTCTCAAAACTTCTCTATAAATAGAGAGGCCATTTGCAAGCTAAAGGGCCAGAAGTTCCTTGGTGTAGACAAGTTTCTCAAAACCCCTCATACTCTCAAAAAACCATAACTGTCCATAAAACCTCCCCTCATGAGCTTTGAAGTCCAAATCTTTAAACCTCTCACACTTTGCAAATTTTGCCCAAAAAAACCATCCAAATACTTCACATATATCATATAGAAGTTGTTCAAACACAAGAACAACTTCTGTAACATCATTATCACCATCTCCCAAACTCAAAAACATTGTTTTGCAAGTTGAATTGATGAGAGAGACCCAAACACTTTCAGCATAAAGTAAGGATTGAAACAACTCAAGAGAGGTCTAAGGAAGCTCAATCAATCATCACATTGCACCTGGAAACATCCATACACGTTTTGGATTTTCACTTCAAGAGGTAAGTTTTCTCAAACTATGATATCCTTGTTCATACATCATTTTGCTTTCATTTTCAAAAGAATAAAATAGGACAAATCAAAATAGAAGAGTTGCAAACACTCAAAACTACAGAAAAATGCTTCTGGAAGTCTGACACAGCTGGCCGTGTCACCTGACACAGGCCGTGTCAGGAAGAAAACAGGACAAAATAGCAAGGCAGGGTTCTGACACAGGTGCCCGTGTCACAGAACACGACACTTGTCCATCTTACTAGAATTAAAAACAGGACAAAATGGCAAGGCGGGGTTCTAACACGGGTGCCCGTGTCACATGACACGGCCCGTGTCCCTCTTACTGGGATTAAAAGCATGAAAAAATGGCAAAACAAGGTTCTGACACGGGTGCCTATGTCACGGGACATGGCCCGTATCAGCTCAGTTGGGACCAAGAAAAATACATGCATGGATCATTACAGGGTTCTGACACGGGTGCCAGTGTCACAGGACACGGCCCGTATCATCCTAAACACCAAAAATCTTAATTTTGAGACTTTTTATCTTCAATTTGGTTATAGTAGTAATTAGTTTTTAATTTCTTCCATCCCCATTTATAATTTGTATCCCCTTCCTCTAAGTGATGTAATAGTGTAGGACTTTAATTTCCGCAATTTACCGCTTTTAAAATAATTGTTAGTAATTAGGGTGTGTATGGCAAGATAAAATCAATCTTAGAGAACCCTAATCTCAAGACAAAAATGCATGTAATCAAAACACGATTCACATGTGCACCTCTAGGGTAACCCATACTTGGTTCCTCGAATGTAAACGGTCATGTCCCTCGAATATAGGGTACTTTAGTGAAGCCCCCTCAATTACAAGATCGTAGTCCCTCGACGAACCTTCGATGTTGCCTTCAACAAAACGATCTTAGTCCCTTATGACAAATTGCTAAAGTATCCTACAATATTGCCTTCTATGACTATACGATGATCCACGCTCGTCCCTTCACATCCAATGATATGGCTTCTTATCAATCAATGGTAAGATATCAATATCTAAAGGAGGAGGAAAATAACTAATACTTTTTTAGTAGGTAGAACATTCATAGTTGCTTTCTCACAATAATCTTCAAAACATCTTTCAAAAACACACCAACACTTTCAAATGAAATATTTTTCAAACTCTATGCTTTGTATGCATTCTTATAGAGACGAGAATCATTACAAAGTTTGCCTAAACAATGGCGATTTTCAAAAATACTTTCAAAACTATCACAAACACATTTCAAACAAAGAATTTTCAAAGTGAGCTAGCAACTAAGAGCCCGTAGATAACTATGGGTGAAAAGGGTGCTAACACCTTCCCTTTTCATAACCTACCCCTCGAACTCAAGAAAATTCTCAAAAGTTCTTTCCTGTTCTTTTCACCCTTTTCTTTATTGGATAAAAGAAAAGTCGGTGGCGACTCTTACTATTCGCAACAATTGCGATAAAATGTAAAACACCCAAGTCAGTTCTCCCACCATATTACACCTTCCCTCGGCCCTGCATATATTTTCAATCTTTATTGGTCTCTTTCCTATATATGCCTTCCATCGACCTGACATATATTTCCAATTTTTATTGGTTTCTTTCCTGTATATGCCTTCCCTTGGCCTGACATATATTTCCAATATTTATTGGTCTCTTTCCTGTATATGCCTTCCCTCAGTCTGGCATATATTTCCAATGTTTATTGGTCTCTTTCCTGTATATATCTTCCCTCGTCCTGGCATATATTTCTAATGTTTATTGGTCTCTTTCCTGTATATACCTTCCCTCGGCCTGACATATATTTCCAATGTTTATTGGTCTCTTTCCTGTATATGCCTTCCCTCGGCTTGGCATATATTTATAATTTTCATTTATATGTTTGATAAGAGTCTCCTTCTGCTAGTCCCTTTACTTCATAAGGCTAGCCTTAGCTAGTATCCTTGATAGGGTCCTCTTCAGTTGGTCTCTTCTTTTCATTGTATGTCCGCCTTCGGCCGGTGTACATTTCTAAAACTCCACCCTCGGGTGACCATCTTTCTAAAAAAATAAAAAATAGAAAATAGAAAACCCAAAAATATCTGACCTTCTTTTGTTTCCCCAAAGTGAAAATTTTATGGTTCTTTGGTATTTAATCTTCTTCTACTTGAATGTTCGAAAGGCTAGCGCCAATCTCACCTCCAAGTTTAAGACGATTAAATAGGGGCAGATGTTTCACCCCAAAATTTGTCCTCCTAATTTTACTTTTATTTAGCTTAGGCTTCGCATTCATTTTCATCTCATTACGTCATTAACATAGCATGTATTTTCATTCAATAAAGGCGCCTGAGGTTCAAAAGAGTAGTAATCATGCCAACTAGGTTTTTTTATTGGTTTCAAGGTGTATATCAAATAAGACTAATTTCTTTTGTCTCTATAAGAAATGAAGATCATCCCCTTTGTGCTTATCATTCCCATAGAGTTAGGGTTTTAGTTCCCTAATCATGAGGTTTACCAGAGAAGATTTTTGTGAAGATGGTTCAACGATGCATTTTATCATTAAAGATGCTCTTCACCAATGATCTCCATGAAAAACTAGGGTTTCTTATCCATTGTGCCTAAGCTTGGAAACATTTCAACTAAGTATCCTATGGATTAAGGTTTGGTCTTATGAATACCTCAAGCATCTTCATTCTACCAAGCCAAGGACTTCTCTCAAGTCATTATCCTGTTATTTTCTACGTAAGGACTCAAGGGTTTGAATGAGGATATATGGATTTCTTTGTGGATTTTGATTCAAGTGATATACTCGCATGCTTAAGTTCATTAATTGGTCAAAATTAGGGTTCCTCATCAGTTAATAAGTGTACTTGTGTTTGGCTTGCAAGACATTAATCAAATTCCTTGTGAAAATGGAAGATTCATTTATTCATCACTCAATCAAGATTAGGGTTTTCTGTATGGTTTGAGATGGGTGTATTAATTGATCTTGATTCAAATTTAGATTTTATTTGAGCATGGAAGGAATTAGGGATGGGTCCTTAGTTTGAGGATTTTTTTTAGGCTTGTAAATCAAGCTATATTTCCTTAAGGTTGGGCTTACTAATTGGTTAAAAGTTTGATACATTGATCTTTCACCTTATGGTTTGAACCGCAAGATGGATCAAGATTTTTTGCAATAAAATATTATGAATTCAAGGTATTAATAACTTTAAGATTCAAACATGGAATTAGAGTTTTTATCAAGCATGACATGAAAGTTCTGATGAAAGCATGAAGTGTACCCAAGTGTTGGAAGAGTTAAGCAAAGTTCAAGTGGAATGGAAATTTGGAACTTGAAGATCATTGGCAAAAAAAATAAGTTATGGCATTATCATTCAAGTCCATCAAAACTTGCTTAACAAGATAGAACCGTGAAGAGGAAATTATGAAACTACAACTCATCAAAACTTGCATAACAATATTAAATCTTAGCCTCTTATCTCTAACAAACTCTTATAAACCAAAGGCCAAGAATGAGCAAAGGTGAACAAATTTTTAACTCTGTTATATCAAAAAGTGATTCATTCACGATTCAGAACCACCTTTTCACAAAGAGAAACTCAGAAAAACTTCACACACAACAAAATATCACAAAGGAAAAATCGCAAAGAACTCACATCAATCTCTTTATGAAAATCATCTTTGATCTTCATCTTTATCTACAACTTTAATCATCATTATCTTCATCAAGAATTCTACACCATATCATCGTCTTAGCTTCTAATTTTCTCTGCATAACAACATGTTTCAGTTTGCAAGATCCATACAACTGAATCTCAATGAATCTACATGAACGCATCAACCATAATTCAAAAATGAACTCAAATGTTCCTGATATTATCTTCGGTAGAGGTGAGAAATTCATTCATCATTTCGCCTTGTTCTAGTCACTAGTGCATGCAGGAGACTGATTAGAACTGAAGCCCTTACAAATCATGCTGTGAGGATCCATCAGAAGCGTTTAATTTATCATTAAAAGAACTAGGTTTCAGAGATCATTTGAAGATAAGGGCGAAACGACGAGAGGCGGACAAACATAAAACAACAACGATGTTGTGATGATTTTTTTGCCAGAGACGGTGAAGTGGATTGGTGGAGGTCGATGTTGCAAAGTGAAAGCGAAGAAGAAGAAACATATTTGAGATGATTTTTCTTGGATAAGCTTAAGCTTCCATTCTTCTTAACCCAACATGCCTCTTAAACAAAGTGGTGTTTAGTTTTTGCTACATTTAATTGTGTTATTTTTCATTATAAATAATTAATTATTGTTTAATAGAATAATGGTGATTAATGTTGTTGATCAAGTACAGGGGCCAAACCAAACATCCATTGCCTAGGCCATCGTAAATTATTTTTGCAAGCCTGAATAATTTGACCAAAAAAGGTTGATCATGTTGGTGGGCTCAAGGCTTCATTCTGACTTGCTGTTCTATGCCTCCAGTTCTAGATTATACACCCACTCTATAGAATTTCATGTGTTTTCTATTAATTTTTTCTTTCCATTAAATTTGATAATTTTAGTTGACAATGATACACGAGAAAGTAGTAGGAAATACTTTGAACTTTAGAAATTAGTTAGATTTCTTTTACGATTAATTATTGTGCTAATTTTGGATCTTTACTTGAGATATCTTGATGCAATTTGTGCATGATAGTGGTGCTCAATCTGTGATACATGTTGGCATGATTGTGGGATGATTTTATTGAAGATTTCAAGAGGTTATGAAGTAAATTAAGATTACAACCTTCATCAAAGAAATTCAAGGAAGCTTTTGGTAGAGTTTTCACGTTGTTTGCGTGGCTTTGAAGAGGCAACAAACTTTCTCTTTTAGGTATCGCTTGAATCTCTTTTACCTCTCTTTCACGCATCATGCTACGATTTTTTTTGTTAGATGCATATATCATAGTTGCATCTAAAGTCCTACCTCGAAGTAGGTAATGTTTGATCTTAAAGTCCTACCTCGAAGTAGGCATTATTTCTTGATGCGCACTTGAGCAATATTTCTAATGGTGTTATTGGTTGATATTTGTTTAATTGTTGACCTAATCTTTGAGTTTGTTCTTTTTGAGGTTTTAAAAACTTGAAATATGTTTAAACTGAATCTCTTGTTCTTATTAGTCTCATCTTATTCACCATATTGATATCTTTTTGCCTTGCTTATTAGCATTTCTTGTTTAGAGGACTAGTCTCCACTTAGGGTTTCTTTTGACAAGTCGCTTGTGTGACATTGATATGTTTCTTTATAAACATTTGGGGTATGATTGTGTGGAGTTTAATTTGACATGGTTGCCGACTTGTATGACTTATCATCTTATTCATTTCACTTCTCTTTTGTATGCCATGTTTGGTTAAGCACTTGACACTTAGAGCTTTGTATGATAGCACCCTTGTCTATTTGCTTTCTCTTTGGTCCCTAATGCTAATACCTTGTGTGCATGACCCTTAGTCTTTATTTACATGTCTAAGTAGTTATTTAATGTGAATTTGCTACGTCAATGCCATGCTTGAGCTTTAATGCCTTGATCACTTGTGGTTTGGTTCTTAGTAGGGATGTCAATTTGCACCCGTTAGTAGGGGTCCCCGAGGGGATTCCTTGTTTGGAGCCCTAAATATGGGAAATCCCCCCCCCCCCCCCCCCCCCCCCGTGGGGACTGGGATGGGGAATAAAGTTCCCTCGAAGGCGCTTTGGGGATGGGGATGGCGAATATATCTCCTGCTCCGTGGAGTCCCCACCCTGTACTAGAATTCTATAATATCGTTAATTAATATATAATTTAACATTTCTATGTAGGTTTATTTATCATTTCAAATAACTTGTTTTATAAACAAATGTAAAACGCATATGTAATGTTAGTAAAAGAGAGAGATCTAAATGACTATTTTAATTTATTTTAAGTTTGAAAATTTTGTGTTCATGAATCTCAAGATTAAATATTGTTAAAACAATATATTTATCGTAGATGATTAGTCTATTAATTTCTTGTGGTTAGTTTTTGAAGTTTTTCTATTAATTTAGTTAAAATTAATAAATAAAATTTATGTTTATTGATATCCAAATAAACCGTGGGGATCCGTGGGGACGGGGATGGGGGAAAAATCCCCCCGTAGTAGAAATTCGATACGGGGATGGGGAGTGAATTCGAGGGCGAGAATTGAGATGAGAATGTGTCTCCCTCCCCCGCCCAGCCCCATTGACATCCCTAGTCCTTAGGGACTAGTTTTGTTGTTTGTTTGATTCTTTAGCCAATTCTTGTGTGATTGTTTGTTTGGTCTTTCTCCTATCTTTGGGACATGTTTGTGTGAACCTTTTGAGGTATATTTCCTATCTTGTTTGAGTTTCTATTTTGCCTAAGTCATCTTGTCTTGATATGCTAAGTGATGATGTTTGTTTTGCACTAAAAGCCTTGAGCTCTTATGTGATTGATGATTGCTTGTCTTTTGGTTTGTAAAACCTTAGGGTAAAACCATTTGAGCATGACCCTTAGAGGACCTTAGTGTGTATGCTAAGTATTCACTTTTACACGTCTTTGTTCATTAATTGATGACCTTGAAGCATGCTTAGAGTTTAAGCTCTTGTTTATTTGCTACTTGTGTTGATGTTTGACCTTTACACTTAGGTATTTGGTTAGCTTTTGAGCTATTTCTTTTGATGTTTTATTCTTATTTATTGTCTTTGTCTTTTGACTTGCATGTTCCCTTAAGATACTCATCTTGTAGACCTTAGGTTCTAAACTATGCATGATAGCATTAGGGAGTTCCCTTTATCCTCGCCAATAGGTCCATTTTTACATGCTAACATTAGGTAACTTTCCCTTTGTTATCCTAACTTTTGGATCATTGTACATGACAACATTAAGATATTTAGTCTCTCTTAGACTTTTTCTTTCTCCTTTTGCATCTTTAAGACTAAAACTTTCTTTTTCTTAATCAAATGTCAAAATACTTAATAATAAAGAGGCGAACCATGTATCATGAGCCTTAAGTATTGGGAAGAGTATGAGGGGTGCATTCTCAACCTTGTGCTTTCTTTCAGTCATAGTCTTTAATGTGGTTCAAATCACCAAATCCTTTTTCAAGGTAAAAAATACTCAACCAATTCAAACCTTTTTGCCTTCGGGCTTTTTCTTTTGAAAACCTTTTCAGATAAGAACATGTTAATTCCTTTCTATGACAAATGCGTGAGTCTCCAAAGGTCGAACTGCAGTAGAATGTGAAATTAATATTGTTCATAAAAAACACAAAACAAATCAAATTTTTTGAGAAGACTACGGTGCTCTGATTCTCTATTGCACGACGGAGATATGTAGGCACAAGGTTTTGAAATTGAGGCGAGCGCAATAATAAAAAAACTTTATTTTTATTTGTATATAATCTTCTGCATTCATGCATTTCCCTTAGCTTGTAAGCTTTAGATATAAACACACCCTTTGATTAGAACAAACAAGAGTGGATCTTGTGGAGTACCTGAGACGTGATGGGTGCTAATACTTTCCCCTTGCATAATCGACTCCCGTACCTGTTCTCTTGGTCGCGAGACCTTGATTTCTCCCTTCTCATGTTTTCTTCGATGTTTTCCTTTCCCTTCTTTGAGATAAATAACATTCGATGGCGACTTCATTGTTGATAATTTTTTCTAGTTGTCTCAAATATGACCACACGACAAAAAATAAATTTTGGTTGTTTTCAAGCACAAAAATGCTCGAGATTTTCTCCTACCTATTCCTATTGATGGATTAAGCCAACATATGTCATCAGTAGAATACCTTACTATATTTAGATATCGTCTTATGATTCTTTTAATTTCTATTGATGAAGTTTGCTCTATTTATCATAAGGTGTTCTAAGATGGCTTTAGTGAACATGTAGTTCATATTAAGGAGCTACCGGGACCGAAGTATCAAAATGACTTTGTTAGAGATGTCATGTTTGATATATTTTGATAACTGAGAGTATCTATAAAGAAAAAAATGCCTATGAATTTCTTGACCGACCTACATGATACGAGATCAATAGTTAACCAACTAATATTCTAATGTACAGATAGATAGGAGGAAAATATATATATATATATATATATATATATATATATATATATATATATATATATATATATATATATATATATATATATATATATATATATATATATATATATATATATATATGTGAGAGCATGATTGGGATTTCCTCACTTATGAGACTAAAGACTAGATGTTTCACTATAGGACAATCTTAAAGCTATCTTAAATAAAAAAGTCAAATATGAGAAAATATATTCAGGATGCTTTCTTATCATTTGCATTTAACATTTTTTGCTTCCTAACATACGAAACCATGAATCTTTTACAAATAATTTAAAAATTCATGCATAACAATTTTATATTTTTTTAAAATGATAAACATAATTTTTGAGAGAACTTTTTCGTCATTAAAAAATTATAGTGGCACGATTTAATTCCTTTCCATTTCTATAATTAATATTATCTTCTATGTATATCCATGTTTGACAAAAAACTGATACTCTAATTCCGATATTCAATTTTTATTATGTGAAATTATGACTACACATGTTATTTTACAAATCATTTTCCATATCCATTTAGATACTGCCTTAATTTGTTTTGTCTTTTTCTAAAATAATTTTATAGTATTATATAATTCAGTGTAAAAAAATTCATAAAATTTTTTTTATAAAAATTCAATTAAGAATTTTGTTCAAATATTATTTTAAATATTTTTATCTTATTAAAAAAATTTTAAATATCAAAATTTTAAAAAATTATTTAATTTTATAACTATTTCAAATAAATTTTCATAAAAATTATTTTTAAAATATAACTTACAAAAGAGTAAAGATGTAATAC